GTAAGCGCCCGGGCGGCGCGGCCCGGGCCGAGCCATCGAGCCCAAGCCCCAGGAGGGGACAGGTATGTACTGGGGTGCACCCTGCCTCATCGCCCCAACCTCCAAATTGCAAGTCAGACCGGACTCTCAGACCCGAGTGGTTTAGGAGCGCGCTGAACTACAGCTTCGGGCCGGTGGCTGGGCTGGGGGCGGGGAGGGCGCAGGTGGATCCTCACCTTGTCCTGGGTGTCTTCCTAGGGTCCCCCGTTTCCAGGGTTTCCCCAGTCAGTGCACAGGGGATGGGTGGGGCTGAGCTGGGCTGGAGCTGGAAGTCCATTAATGATTAATCTTGGGCCCAGCAGCCTGCGCTGGGAGGAGAGGCAGGAATCTCCCCTCTGACCCCCAGCCTTCCCCCAGAAGCGGGGCTGTGGGAGCAGGGGCTGGGGACCTGGATAAGGGAGGGATCCCCTCTGCTTGGAGAAGGCCCTGACTTGTGCCACAGAGAGGCAGGGCCACCAAGGAGAGGCTTGTGGGGATGGGACTAACGCTGGTCTCCAGGAGGGGTTCCCGGGGAAACCCAACAGTTTCCCTGTTCCCAGGAAGGGGGACCAGCTTGGTGCCAAGCCAGCTGTGGTAACAGCTCGGAGCGAGACCGTGGTCCCTTCCCAATGGGAACCCTCTCCCCACCTGCCTCGAACCGGAGAGGTGATGGGTGCACATCTGGCAGCCATAACCCACACCGGTGAGAGGGTGGGAGGGAGCCAGGGAGGGAGAGAGGGCGACAGGCCAGACACCCGATCGCCTGGGTTGCCGAGGTGACAGGGGCCATGGAAATCCTCAGAAGGACAGTCCAGTTGGGAGAATCCAGCCTCTTCCTTTACGAAGGGGGTAACCCGAGGCCCAGAGAGGGTAAGACTGTGAGCTGCCCTGTGCCTTGCCCTGCAAAGGAGGCGTGGCCACTATCCCCGTGATCCCGAGGGGAAACTGAGGCTCAGGGCGATCCTGACACTTGCCCGAAGTCACACAGTTCAAAGGTGGCTGCAAAGTGGGGCCCCTCTGGGGTCTGAGCCTCTTGAAGCTGGCTGGGCTGCCCCCACCCCCCGCCCCCTTGCCTCACCCCCTAGTTCCCAGCTCTGCCTGACACTCCGGCGGGAGCAGAGACAACAGAGCCCTGTTCCCAGCTGCCACCTCGAGCAGATGCCTGCCTGAAGGAAGTGCCCTGCGGACAGAGCAGCTTGCCAGCCTCCCCCGCATCCCCTCGTCCGTCCGAGGGGCCAGGTCTGATGGTGGAGAGCTTGGGTCTGATGCCCTTGTGCCACCCAGCGAGGGAGGAGTGTGTCCCCTGTGGTCCCTCCCTCTGTCTGGGGTCTAAGGGACTGAGTGTGCCACCCGGTGGGAGAGGCCATTAACTGGGAGAAGGAGGCCCAGATGGTGGAATTCCAGGCATGGCAGCACAGGCTCTTTTTTTCACTTTCTTTTTAATATATTTTATTGATTTTTTACAGAGAGGAAGGGAGAGGGATAGAGAGTCAGAAACATCGATGAGAGAGAAACATCAACCAGCTGCCTCCTGCACACCCCCCACTGGGGATGTGCCCGCAACCAAGGCACATGCCCTTGACCGAAATCGAACCTGGGACCATTGAGTCCACAGGCCGACGCTCTATCCACTGAGCCAAACCGGTTTGGCCAGGCTCTTTTTTTAAACAAATATTTTTATTGATTTGAGAGAGGAAGGGAGAGAGTGAGAGAAATAGAAACATCAATGATGAGAGAGAACCATTGATTGGCTCCTGCACGCCCCCACTGGGGATCGAGCCCACAACCCGGGCCTGTGCCCTGACCGGGAATGGAACCGTGACCTCCTGGTTCATAGGTCGACACTCAACCACTGAGCCACTCCGGCCGGGCTATTGCTCTACTTAGTCTCCTCCAGCTGCCCGGTGAGAGTCTCTCCAGCCACAGGAATCAGCCCTGGGCGCTCACCCCACCACTTTCCCTGCCAGGGCCCTGTTCCTGTGGGCACGCCGGGCACACAGCACCGAGACCCATTAGTCAGGGAGCGATTCGCGGGGAACTGGTTCGTCAGCACGTTCTGCAGCCAATGGCTTTGGAGGCACTTGGTCCTGATCTCCGAGGGGCATTCCCCCGTCCTGTCTAGACCTTGGGAAAAACCAGTAGCATCTGGATTGGCCCCAACCCCTGGCGGACCTGGGCCACCATCCCTCACACAGGGGTGGAGGTGGGATTCTGGACTGTACCTCTTTGATGGAGGACTCCGAGCTCGTGAAATCTCATCAGACCCATCCTCCCAGCCTCGGTCAGGTGCTCCCCTCAAGAAGGCCTTGTGGGATGACCTGCTCACCCTCTGGGCTCCCCCAGATTTCAGACAAATGTTTCTCTGGTCGCGTCTCTTTGAGCCCTGGTGTTTGGACTCTGGCTGGCTGTCTGCCCTCTGCTGACTGTGTGACCTTGGGCAAGTGAATTCCCCTCTCTGAGCCTTAGTTCCTTCCCCCAGGGAGTGGGGTAATGGGGGTGTTTGAGGCACAGGACAGTGTTAAATGAGATGTGATTCAAGGAGCAATCTGCCTCCCCACCCCAGGGGCTTCCTTGTCCCTCCCCGTGGCCGTTGAGCCTGCCCCGGGCTCTCTGCAGGGCTCTGCAGCTACTTGTGTCCTTGGCCCAAGGGCACCAGGGACCTTGCTGAGCCCTTGTGTGAAGGAGCTGCCCAGCCGCTGAGGTCCAGGGAGGGTCGGGGGCCACCCAAGGGGCAGAGGGTGCACCGGCAGGGTACAGGGACCTACCACCTGCTGTCCCCAGGGAGGGAACTCATGAATATTCACAGCCCGAAGTGGGAGGGAGCCAGCCAGCTTATTACTGGGTGTCATTGGAGCGTTCCTATTTCCCAGTGACCGCAGAGGCAGCCTGGGAGTCGGATGTGGCTCAGGCAGGGAGAGCAAAGGGGTAGCCGGCCCGTCCAGGCCCGAGGTAAGTGTGTCTGCCCCTGTCCCCGCCCTGAGGTCCCTGGGGCCAAGAGCTGCCTGGTGGTGATGCTCTGGGCCAGGAGGCTTGCCGCCCTGGCCTGGGTTCCCTGTGTGCACGCGGTGGGGGATGAGTCCTGTTTCTCCTTCGTTCCGTGAAAGGTGCTCGTCCAGCCAAGCTGGGCCTGGCCCGGAGCCAGCCACTGGCACAGATGGAGGGCAGCGTGGCCGGGGTCACCCACAAGGGCAGGAACAGATGAGATGGGCTAGGAAAGGGGCACCGTCTACCCCGCGTCCCTGGGACTGTCACCACCATAGGCAGGGGACGAAGGGGATCCGGTTCTGGTCTCGGCTGCTGCTGTGCTGTGTGACCTTGAGGGTGGTCCTGCCCTCTCTGAGGCTCGGGCCACACTGAGGTTGTCCTCAGTATCTCATGGTCTAGGACCCGGGGCTGTCCGTGGCCTGCAATCCTCCATCCTGGGTGGGCAAGTCGGCATATACCTCGAAGGGACCGTGACTGGGATCCTGGGAGGGTAATAGTAATGATGATAATGACCATGGTGGCAGCCCATGCTTAGCTCGTGTCTCCTCTGTGCCACCGCTTGGTCTGAGGATGGGCACTTGAAACTGTCATAGTTGCTGTCCGTTCTTCACGCTGAGCACTGGAGGGGGAGTCCTCTTGCTCTGCTTTTTTCTCTTTTTAATATATTTTTATTGATTTCCGAGAAGAAGGGAGAGGGAGAGAGAAACATCAACGATGGGAGAGAGAATCATCGATTGGCTGCCTCCCACACACCCCACACTGCGGATTGAGCCCACAAGCCAGGAATATGCCCCAACGGGGAATCGAACGGTGACCTCTTGGTTCCTGGGTCGATGCTCAGCCACTGAGCTACACGCATCCGGGCTGTTGCTTTACTCTTAACGTCTCTCCCAGCGTCCCCGTGAGAGTGTCTCCAGCCACAGGAAACAGCCCCAGGACACTCACCCCACAGCACCGAGGCCCGTTAGTCAGGGAGCCATTCGTGGGGAACGTGGTTCCTCAGAACGTTCTGCAGCCGATGGCTCCGGAGATCCTTGATCCTGATCTCCAAGGGGGGATCTTCCCCATCCTGCTCCCACAATTGCAGGTCCTTCCCCTTCCTTAGTCCTTCCCTGGTGACTCCGGCTGCTCCTCTGGCCTCAACTCACACCTCTGTGCCCCCGGCCCGCAGCAAGTGTGTCTCCCACTACCCCGCACGGAGGTGCGATGGTCAGCTTTGGTTTGCACACCACCCTGGGATGGGGGGAGGGTTGGCATCATCATTTTGGAGGGGATTTAAGGCCCAGAGAGGGGCACAGACTTGCCTCGGGCATCCAGCAAGGAAACAGCAGAGCTGGGACTCAAACCCAGGCCCCCGGCCTCCAAGTGCTGGTGCCATGTGACTTTCACATGCGTGAGGGTCCATTTGTCAAACATTCACCGGGTGCCAGGCTCGGAGCACTCGGGGCTGAATCACCATCAGGTTTGCCTGGGGCTGGGCACGGAGGGGATCCCTCCTCCCACACACCTGGGCCCAGGTCAATCGTGATAATAATAATTAATATGTATTGATTTCTGCCTGTGTACATGCATTCGCCCATTGAAATCTCGCAGCCTCATAACTATTCCTCTCCCCACACCCCCGACCCCCACCAGCCCGGCTCCTGGCTGCTGGGGCGCCCGTCGCTGGGCCTCAGTCTACCCAGGGGCTCTGCCTGGGATCACTAGGGTGCTGTCTGCCCTGATCTTGCTGTTGTGCCCATTGTGCACGGGAGACTGAGGCTTGGAGAGGCTGTGTGCTGTGCCCAAGTTCACAGCTGCTGAGACCGGAGGGACCAGCCACCAGGGCCCTCCCTGCTTCCCCACCCTCTGCCCTGGTTGCCCTGGCCCAGCCCACGAAGGCCAGACCCTCCTCTGCTGCTGAGCCTTCCAGATGGCACTTGCGGCTGCACACGCCCATCTTCCCAGGGGCTGGGCCTGGGCCGCACCACACAGCTGGGAGCTGTGCAGACCTGGGTGTGAATTCCAGCCCCGAACCCTGCCTTGTCTGTCCAGTGACCCTGGGCCAGTCACATCACCTCTGGAAGCCTCAGTTTCCCCATCTGCAGAACGCAGGTGACAGTGGGGTCTGCCTCCCAGGGTAGCTGAGCGGAGTCAGTGAGATGTTCTGGAGAAGCCGCTGAGCCCAGAAGGTGGGGACGGCCCAGGGCCCCCCTCCCACTGGGTTGGAGGGAGAGCCAGTGGGAGAGTGAATGAATGAATGAATGAGTGAGTGAGTGAGTGAGTGAGTGAGTGAGTGTGGGGGCTGGGAACACCTGGGCGGGGCCAGAGGGAGCCTGATTGACAGCTCTGGGAGCCGGTCTGCCCCCTGCTGCCTGGCCTTCTGCTGGGAGCTTCTCAGCCTCCCTGAGTTCCTTCCAGAAGGTGCCCTGGTGAGTGGGGCTGCGGTGGGGACGGGGCTGAGGGTTTTCCGAGGGCAGGACTCCTGAGCCCTCCTCACTCCGAAGTCAGGGGAGCTGAGGCCCCAGGTCCCGCTCGGGGTTTGGGTTGGAGTCTGAGGCGCTGGCCTGGCCCAGGACCCCAGGGAGTGGAGGCCCCAGGGGGCGCTGGAGGCCTGGTGCAGGTCTGTGTTGGGGGGGATGCAGTGGCCGCTCCTTGTTCAGGAGGTACAGCCCGCGGGTCCCAGGGCTCAGGAGGGGCGCAGCAAACACTCTGGGAACGAGAAGTGGGTGTTAGTCGCTCTGCCTGCCCCGTCCCAGGAGGGGCGGCCAGGGGCTCCTGTGACTGAACCCCAGGACTGGGGGTTCCAGGGCCTGAGGCCACGCCTCTCCTTCCTGGGGCCCCTCCATGACCAGACCCTCCTAGCCGGTACCCCCCCCCACCACCACCACAAGCCTTCTCATCTAGTATTTAAACCTATTTTATTGCCTTTTTCTGATTAAAAAGGTCATAAAATGCAGCCATTGCCCTGGCCGGCTTGGCTCAGTGGCTAGAGCGTCAGCCTGCGGACTGAAGGGTCCCAGGTTCGATTCTGGTCAGGGGCACGGACCTCGGTTGCAGGCTCCCGGCCCTGGTCGAGGGCATGCGGGAGGCAGCCAATCGATGTGTCTCTCTCACAGCAGTGTGTCTCTCTCTTTCTCTCTCTCTCCCTCTTCCTTCCATTCTCTCTAAAAATCAAACAAAAAAATCTCCTTGGGTGAGGATTTAAAAAAACAGAAAGAAAAAGCAGCCGTTGCAGGCCTGGCCGGGAGGTCCAGGGGGTGGAGTGTATTCTCAGACACCGAGAGGCCGCGGGTTTGATACCGAGTCCGGGCGCACACCGAGGTTGTGGGTTCGATCCCTGGTGGGTCCCTCGTGTAACTTTTCCAGGGGAAGTACGTGGGGTTACTTCCAGGCGGGTGACTTGGCCTCTGCCCCCCAGGGACCGTGGGGACGTGCCAATGCGTGTAGTTACCGGGCAGCATGCGTGACCTCTGTGGCCTCAGGGACCGAGGGCCCCATGCCAGGTGCCAGGACGGGAGTGGAAAGTTTTGAGCCTGGGCCCCTCGCTGGGCAGCTGGGGAGGGTGCCGCCCGAGACGGTGGGACTGGCTGGGCTTTGAAAAGGAGGGGGGGTCGTGGCCTCTCCCCGTCGTCAGCCCCGGCCCCGGGCCTGGGGGACGGGCGATGGGACAGGGTCTTGTTTTCCTTCTTCGGAAACGATTTCTTTATGAGGCCGAAAAGGGTGTAAAAAGTAAACGTCCATGTACCCAACTCAGCTTCAAAATGAAAACTGAACCCGGCGCCCTGGCCGGTCTGGCTCAGCGGATAGAGCGTCGGCCTGTGGACCAAAGGGTCCCGGGTTCGATTCCGGTCAAGGGCACGTACCTCAGTTGCAGGCTGAGTCCCCAGCCCGGGCCCTCGTCGGGGCTCGTGCAGGAGGCAGCCCATCAATGTCTTTCTCCCATATTGACGTTTCTCTCTGTCTTTCCCTCTCTCTTCCACTCTTTCTAAAATCAATGGGGGAAAAAATGTCCTCAGGCCAGGATTAACGAAAAAACAACAACAAACAAAAATGGAACCGAGCAGTCGAAACATCTCCTTGCCCCCGTCTCCCTCCAACTTCCCTCAGCGTTGGCGTTGCCAGCCGACTCCGTGTGCAACCCTGTCACCGCGTTTCTCCACACGTGTGTCTCTCTGTCCGCATTCTGCTGGGGGGCCGAGCTGGTGAAGGCAGGGCCCAATGTCCAAGGCTGCCCCTCAACCCAGCCAGGCCTGGGGCAGTGGTGGGCGCTCCCTGAGGCCGGCCTCCTGACACTTGCCCTGCTGTGTGCCCCCCTGCCCCCTCGCCAGGTGTCTGAGATGCCGCTGCCTCAGAAGAAGCGCTGGGAGTCCATGGCCAAGGGGCTGGTGCTGGGGGCACTCTTCACCAGCTTCCTGCTGCTGCTGTACTCATACGCAGTCCCCCCACTGCACGCTGGCCTGCCATCTACGTGAGTGGCCCTCCTGGGTGACCGAGGGGAGGGGGTGGGCCTGAGGGGGCACCCTGAACCATGCTATGCTGAGGGCAGAACTCACTGTGTAAGCCTGGGCCTCAGTGTTCGCATCTGTGAAATGGGTATAATTTCAGAGCCTGCCTTATGCAGCAGGGGAATCAGGTAACACCATCTGTGTATAGGACTTGGATTTTTATCAACTGAGGCTCCAACGGGGCTGAGAGAGAGGTGGGGGGTGGCTTGTCCATGAGCGCTCAGCTGAAACAGGGCCTGGATTCAACCGGGGTCTGTTGGCCTCCAAGCCTGGCTCCTAACCATGCGGCCATCCCACCTTCCCACGGGGCTGCTCAGCCAAGGCCTGGCACAGCCCCTGCCCTTAGTTGGGTGGTATTAAGTTGAACTAGAGGAAATTCCTGATAATTGACCATTTTTTGGTCAAAAATGGACCATTTCTGGCCTACAGAATTTCACGTGGTTCAACCTAATGCCAATTCATGATAAACGTACCAGGATGCAGTGGCCACAAAGGAGACAAGAGCCAGCGTGCTGGTCTCGCTCTGACCTCACGCCAACACCACGAAAAGAGGGTGCTTTTTCCCCATTTTACACATGAGGAACGTGAGGCCGGAGAGGCCAAAGCAGTGGCCCCAGGCACTGCCGCCTGGAGGGAGGCCCGTCTGGTCCCCATCCTGGCTCCCCCCTCCACCACCGTCCCCAACAACCCTGGACACCAGAGTCTGAGGTCCCCACACCTGGGGAGCCCCGGCCACCCCTGAGGCTCTCCCCACCCCTCTGTGCCCTGCAGGACCCCGGAGGGCACCGCGTCCTGCTCCCCGGCCCCAGAAGAGTCGGAGGCGGAGACGGCGAACCCCGCCAACGGCTCATCATCGTCGTCGTCCTCGGGGTGCCGGCCCCGCCGCGACATCGTGTTCATGAAGACGCACAAGACGGCCAGCAGCACGCTGCTCAACATCCTGTTCCGCTTCGGCCAGAAGCACGGGCTCAAGTTCGCCTTCCCCAACGGCCGCAACGACTTCGACTACCCCGCCTTCTTCGCGCGCAGCCTGGTGCAGGACTACCGGCCGGGCGCCTGCTTCAACATCATCTGCAACCACATGCGCTTCCACTACGACGAGGTGCGGGGCCTGGTGCGGCCCAACGCCACCTTCATCACGGTGCTGCGGGACCCCGCCCGCCTCTTCGAGTCCTCCTTCCACTACTTCGGCTCGGTGGTGCCCTTCACCTGGAAGCTCTCGGGCCGGGACAAGCTGGCCGAGTTCCTGCAAGACCCCGACCGCTACTACGACCCCCGCGGCTACAACGCCCACTACCTCCGCAACCTGCTGTTCTTCGACCTGGGCTACGACAGCGGCCTGGACCCCGGCAGCCCGCGGGTGCAGGAGCACATCCTGGAGGTGGAGCGCCGCTTCCACCTGGTGCTGCTGCAGGAATACTTCGACGAGTCGCTGGTGCTGCTCAAGGACCTGCTGTGC